TCTGGGCTGTAAACATGCTGCAGGTCTGAAGCTTTGCAGCTGCATCAAAACTTAAACCCCCTGGTGCATTTGATGGGCAGTACAACCACCAAATGACCTATTCAAGTGAACTAGGTCATACCGCTAACTGCCCCGCAACCACGTGCAATTTGTGTGGATGCGGAGCAGCGGGTGTGTGTTTTTTAGGGTTAAAACAGGCAGCGAGGAGGCAATTGGCTGCAGTCACTGTTTTGGCATATGATTATTCATCTGGCTCCTTCGATTTTCAGATTGAAGGATGTCAGGTGGTATGGTGCCGATAATACCACCCACTGGTTAAAAATTTGAAAAAGCACTGAATTAAAAGCTTGCATTCAGTTTAATTTTTACCTGTGCAGTTGGGACATATGCAATATATCATATATATGATGACAATATGACTACATGTTCTTCGACATACAGTAAATTAATATTTTTTCTAAATTTATACATAAGATGCCACATGCAACAGACCATAGCAAGTATGATTATTTTCTTAGGAAAGAGAAAAACATGCAGCTATTCTGCATAAGCAGTCATTTGTTCCTTAGGTTGGACTAGTCCCTATTTTGCCTTATTCAGTAAAACAGTGCAGAGGGCAATGATGATGATCAAAGGCCTATAACCTATATCAACCGGTATTTTTCAATCCATTGTTACCAGATAAATTAAGGGCGATTTCCTATTGCTTTTATTGAACAATGGCAATACATTTTGCCTTTTGCTGATGCATCCTGGCTTATATACATAGGACCACATTACTTCTGGGTAACTGACCCATTGAGTGGTCTCCTTTCTTTTCTTGGTAAATCCCCTTTTGGATTTTTGGAGCTAAGCCACCTGTCTTTCTTTTGGTCCTTCTCACTCTGCATTTTCTCGTCTGCTTCTCTGTGCGGACCGTGGCGGGTTCGCCATTGATGTGCTCGGGCGGGGTTCCTCCAGGAGACACTTGGGCGGCCTTCTCTTTCTTTCCTTCTTTGCACGCTATCACCATCCTTACTGTGAGAGGTTCATGAGTATTATCTGTTGCATTATGTGAATCAATACTTTTTAGGCTTCTTGGTGGTCTATGTGTACTTCCTCTGCTCCTATATGGGGCTATACGTCATGCTCCTTTGAGCACCTCTGAGGAAGAGACAACAATTAGTCTCGAAATGCGTCAGTAACAACACTTGCATGACTGATCCTTTCAGTATTAAGTTATACATCTGTTGACAATTACCGCCATAATTCATGTATCTCAATGTGTTATGTCTTTTTTAAGATTGTATAAATAAAACTGAGTGTTATGTTTTAATGGTTGGTTGATTTATCAGTCATTAATTTACAATTCGTGCCTCTAAAGTCCCACTAAGTAGAGGACCTTTCCCCCTTTTTTCCCCATATTTCCAGGGATGTTGGCACCTCTTGTACTGTATCCCCCCCCCCTCCTTTCTTTTGCCTTTTGCTAATTTTTCTATTTGGTCCTAAGATCACAGTAATATTCATCTACTTATGAAAAAGTCGCAATAGCTTTAGTAAACTGGACCTTTGTATCAAAATTGTGCGTTTAATAATGCTAGAATATTGAATAATATATTGCAAAGGAGGCAGCAAGTATACTCCAATCGCAAACATTATTATGCAGCTTAGTGCTAGCCTAAGGATTAAAGTGATTGTAAAGGCATATTTAAAAAACAAACAAACATGCAATACTTACCTGCTCTGTGTAATGGTTTTGCACAGAGCAGCCCCAATCCTCCTCTTCTGGGGTCCCCTATCATATTTATAGTGATAGCAAGCTGAGCTAATTCATAGACATTTTATGAGTGTTGCTGGATGCAACTGAGTTTTAAGTCTTTCACGGGGATTTAATAAGGAACCCTGGTTGCATTGCACTAGCAGGCCAAAAGCAGGCATAATATTGTGAGCTAGCTACTATGCCTGTACATAACCACTTTCCACTCTTCTTTCCATGAATGCTATTTTAGATCAAGGGACGATATTCCTGTATTGATACTTATATTGATTTTTTGCACACAGTAAGGCCAACTTGTACATTATACAGCTATCACACTTATGCTTAAAAAAAAATCAAAGTCTTCCATGCTAAATTGATTTTAAAACGTAGTTTGCCACTACATATTTGATTGTGGATCTTTACATGCCTTAAGCCCTGTGCACACGATGAAAATATTGGACGAATGATCATCAGTTTTTTTTTTTTTGCATGCCAGTCTCATATTGAAAGTGAAGAGGTTACTAAAGTTACGAAAATTCTTGTACGACAGAATGAAAATGAAGTGACGTACACGACAACTGTACTGATGAAACAAAAATTGTACAATCTGGTATCGTGCGAGAAACATTTTCGCGCTTGTCTCTTCAAATAATTTCGGATGAAAGCTGTGTGCTAACGATCAGATTATCGTACAATCGCTTCGAAAGCTGTATTTTTGTTACGCTTTTCTGATCGTGTTTACTAAGCTTTATTCACACTCCGAATCAGTGTCTTAAATTAGGTGAAGTTTGATAAATGTTGAGAAGTGCTGATTTGTGCATTAGCGCCATGGCACAGTTTTGGCATGGTCGCAATAGCTTTAGTAAACTGGCCCTTTGTATCAAAATTGTGCATTTAATGATGGTAGAATATTGCATAATATATTGCATAAGAGGCAGCAAGTATACTCCAACCACAAACATTATTATGCAGCTTAGTGTTAGCCTAAGGATTAAAGTGATTGTAAAGGCATTTTTAAAAAACAAACAAAAAAAAAACAATACCAAAAAAAAGCAATACTTACCTGCTCTGTGTAATGGTTTTGCTGGTGTTGTAGACTGGATCGAGATCAGGCTCAGGTAAGTATAAGGGGGAGGGGACTGGAATGGGAGCTGCAAAGAGAAAATTTTTTTTCCTTAATGCATAGGGTAAAAAACCTTCAGCCTTTACAGCCACTTTAAGGTTTGGATGAGTGTAAGGGCCAGCTCACACTACATGCGTTTCAGTTGCTTTTTTTTCTGCATTCAAAATGCACAGAAAGTAGGTTATATGGTTGTTAATGTCATAGTTCACATCAATGCTTGCAGTTCCAGTTGCAGAAAAAAAAGTAGAACATGCTGCATTTTTTCTGCACAGAACTGCAATAGAAAGTGGTAAAACACATAAAAAAACGCACTGGAACGCACCTAATGCATAAAAAATGCACTGGAATGCACATTTCCCTGTTTAAATTGAAGAAAAAGAGAGGGGAAAAATGAACGGGAATGCATAAAAAATGCACTGAAACGCGTCAAAAATGCATAAAATGCATTGGAACTCATCAAAAACACACATGCAGAAATGCAGCTGGAGCGTATTTATATAGTGTGAACCGGCCCTAAAGGTTAAAGTGTTACTAAACCCAGGACCCTATCTGGTCTCCCACAGTACACCAAACATGGAAGTGCAATCATTGTAGTAAATATAAACTGCTAAATACCTTTTCTCATCAGCAGTTAGAGCAGTCTTGTGACTTCTATCAGTGTTCAGCTGAGCACTAGTTAAAGCTTGTAGGAGGAGTTTTAATTCTCCTGTGACTATCGTATGGGGCTGCTTGACCCCTGACCCTCTGTCTGGAATGTGCTGATTGGCCCTGTGCTGGTCACATGCACCCTCCCAAAGAAAAGAAAACTCTCTAGCAATACACACTAAACTCAGCATGTGCAGAGTGTCTCCTAGAGCTCTGTACTATCAGCAGATGGATTATGAACAGCAGAAGAAGGGGAGGATCATAGAAGACAGGATCAAACTCCTTAGGTTTCACAGTGATTATAACAAGCATGCTTTACTGCATATACAGACTGACTTTACTGTTGTGGGTTTAGTATGGTAACACTTTAAGTGTTAAGGCTAGGTTTAGTGTTAAGGATTAATTTTAAGGTTTTGGTTAAGTGGTTTAATTTTATAGCCTGGGTGAGGGTAAGTTAAGAGTTTATTTTTTGTAACCTGAAGCCGTTTGATGAGAACTACCAGCAGCAGGTTCTCAGGACTGAAAAAAAAATACATTTTAAGGTGGTCAAGCTACTATTTTAAATCCTTTGCTTTTGAAGCTTCAGTAGAGTGAAAACTAGGCCAGAATGAAAGTAAAATACATTTTCAGCACATAACGAAATTTTATCTTTCTAATTTAAAAAAAAAAAAAAAGCTGTACAGATACCATATGAAATTTACTTTAAATGTGACCAAAAGATATATTGCAAGAGGGCTGTTTGCCGGTCCAGCTGCTTATGTTCAGATCCGTAAGCTACTGATTTCTGTCAATGTTTGTTGGTGATGAGCATGCCCTAATTTCCCCCTCCATGGATATAAACATGCCCACTTGGACACTGCTATCCACACTGGTACATGCAAGGTGAGAGAAGTGGAAACAGAAAATCTTTTGGCCTGCTTTCCCTTAATTGTGACAAATCTCTAATCTGCCCAACAAACCTCTGCAGCAGTGATTGCTTGTAAATGTCTGTGACTCATTATAGATTGTTACCATTTGCCTGCAGGAAAAGAAATGATCGTTTCACTGTGACTGTATCTTCCTAATGCAAAAATTGAATATTGATATAGAACAATGAAGCAGATCCACATACGCAACAAGTATAGCGGCAAATGGCAAAAACCTTTGTATCATCAAAATAGATCATACATCATAGTGCAAGATTAATTATTATTTTTATATAACAAGACTCACTTAACGCGAAATAAACAATAAATAAATAAACGCGAAATAGCCCTGGTTTACACTGATGCGGTGCAGAATTTGCAGCATTTTCTGTGCGAATTCTGCACCGCAGCAGAATCGCACCCCATTCATGCGAACTGCCGCGGGTGTGTATGTTAAGTTAACACCCCAAAAAGCGGCCCGCAAAACATGGTGCGATGTGGAGAATCAGATCTCATAGGTGTGAATACCTGAAAAAGCGCCCTGCACCAAATCACATGCAATATACCGTACCGCCAGGGGCGGACTGACCATTTGGAAACTCGGGCACTGCCCGAGGGTCCGGGGTCAATAGGGGGCCCCATAAAATGCCCCTGGTACCTTTTCCATAGGCTTTTTTGAGTTTGGGCAAGGACGCAGGGGCCCCATGATCCTCTATTGCCTGGGGGCCCCATGAGTTGTCAGTCCGCCCCTGCCCACTGCATATATGTGAACCCAGGCTCAGTCTTAATCGTACAGAACGTAACACCAGACTGGTATGAATAAACCATGGGTTATACAGGTGAAACTCGAAAAGTTTGAATATCGTGCAAAAGTTCATTTATTTCAGTAATGCAACTTAAAAGGTGAAACTAATATATGAGATAGACTCATTACATGCAAAGCAAGATAGTTCAAGCCACAATTTGTCATAATTGTGAGGATTATGGCTTACAGCTCATGAAAACCCCAAATCCACAATCTCAGAAAATTTGAATATTGTGAAAAGGTGCAATATTCTAGGCTCAAAGTGTCCCACTCTAATTAGCTAATTAAGCCATAACACCTGCAAATGGTTCCTGAGCCTTTAAATGGTCTCTCAGTCTTGTTCAGTAGGAATCACAATCATGGGAAAGACTGCTGACCTGACAGTTGTGCAGAAAACCATCATTGACACCCTCCATAAGGAGGAAAAGCCCCAAAAGGTAATTGCAAAAGAAGTTGGATGTTCCCAAAGTGCTGTATCAAAGCACATTAATAGAAAGTTATGTGAAAGGGAAAAGTGTGGTAGAAAAAGGTGCACAAGCATCAGGGATGACCGCAGCCTGGAGAGGATTGTCAGGAAAAGGCCATTCAAAAGTGTTGGGGACATTCACAAGGAGTGGACTGAGGCTGGAGTCAGTGCATCAAGAGCCACCACACATAGATAGATCCTGGACATGGGCTTCAAATGTCGTATTCCTCTTGTTAAAGCCACTCCTGAAAAACAAACAACGTCAGAAGCGTCTTACCTGGGCTAAGGAAAAACAGACCTGGTCTGTTTCTCAGTGGTCCAAATTCCTCTTTTTCTGATGAGAGCAACTTTTGCATCTCATTTGGAAACCAAGGACCCAGAGTATGGAGGAAGAATGGAGAGGCACACACTGCAAGATGCTTGAAGTCCAGTGTGAAGTTTCCACAGTCTGTGTTGATTTGGGGAGCCAAGTCATCTGCTGGTGTTGGTCCACTGTGCTTCATTAGGTCCAGAGTCAACGCAGCCGTCTACCAGGAGATTTTGGAGCACTGCATGCTTCCTTCCGCAGACGAGTTTTTAGGCAGTGTGGGCACCTGCCCACACTGCCAAAAGCACCAAAACCTGGTTCAATGGCCGTGGGATTATGGTGCTTGATTAGCCAGCAAACTCGCCTCACCTGAACCCCATAGAGAATCTATGGGGCATTGCCAAGAGAAAGATGAGAGACATGAGACTGAACAATGCAGAAGAGCTGAAGGCTGCTATTGAAGCATCCTGGTTTTCCATAACACCTCACCAGTTCCACAGGCTGATAGCTTCTATGCCACGCCGCATTGAGGCAGTAATTGCTGCAAAAGGGGCCCAAACCAAGTACTGAATACATATGCATGCTTATACTTTTCAGAGGTTCGATATTGTTCTATGTACAATCCTTGTTTTATTGATTGCATGTAATATTCTAATTTTCTGAGATTGTGGATTTGGGGTTTTCATGAGCTGTAAGCCATAATCATCACAATTATGACAAATCTTGAACGGCTTGAACTATCTTGCTTTGCATGTAATGAGTCTATCTCATATATTAGTTTCACCTTTTAAGTTGCATTACTGAAATAAATGAACTTTTGCACGATATTCTATTTTTTTCGAGTTTTACCTGTATGCTGCTACCATCAAGTGACTGTACACTGCCAAATAATTTTGCTAGGGCTGTCCCTAGAGTGTACCTATACAACCTTGCCCACTTCATGAAGCTTTACAGTGGGGTGTGCCCACTGTGACGGGCAAAGCCTTGGACCGATTCTGGCCCAGCATTAGAGATAAGACAGAGTTTCCCTGTATGTGGAATCTGTTTCCTCGCTTTAAACAACACTATCCACAGGTCATAGCATATTATGTGGTTTAGTGAGCAGAGGATTGGCTGTTACTCACTGTATGATGGCACTCTTTTCCATTTTGTCTATAGCACCTCTCAGCAAACACTTTTAAATTTGGTGATTTTACCCTCCCTAGTCTTAGACATAGTCTCAGAGGATGAGTTAAGTGCATCACGCCTCCCAAATGAGGTATTTCCACCTGCCTCTTCCGCCGAGAAAGCAAGCTATATGTTGCTGCACGTTTACATGGTCATCTTTTACAGAGACACAGCCACAGGGACTCAGTGTTATAGTGGATCATTCTCCAGATACAAAAAGCTCCATCCATTCTGCACACCTAAACCGTGAGTACCTCACTGGGGATCCCTCTTCAAAAATGGCGGATCACAGGTGCAAGGGAGCTGGGACTATAAAATCTAATAATACGCATTTGGCAGACAGCCTACAGGAAAAACAGAAAACCACACAGGGTGATAGCTTTTATACTTATCCAAGAACAATGTTTTTTAATGACATTGTTCCCCCACGATCTGGCTCAGGTTCCCTCTCAGGCATGCACAATGAAACCTGTCTGACAAAAGCAGATTTCTCTGCCACTGTTTCTGAATTATTTGGAAAACATCTTGTACTTCTAGAACCTTCAGTCTCCAGAGCCCAAAATGCTAAACATGACCTTTTCCCCATGAATCTATTCAGGAACTAGAAGTAGAACCTCTTTTACTTGAAGCTATGGAGGAAAGTTAAAGGGCATTGATTTTGCAGCAGAGGCAGAGGAAGATGTTTGCTCTCCTGAAAGCTTATGAGGTACAAGGTATGGCTTTGCACGAGGGGCGGACTGACCATTCGAGCACTCGGGCACTGCCCGAGGGCCCGGGGTCAGTAGGGGGCCCAATGAAATGCCCCTAGTACCTTTTATAGGCTTTTTTTTGGGTGTGCTTTGAGTGTGGGCAAAGACACGGGCCCCATGATTTCCTATTGCCCGGGGGCCCCATGAGCTGTCAGTCCGCCCCTGCTTTGCACCAAATACCAAATGCTTTCCACTGTGGACACACTAATTGATTCAGGGTGCACTAATCTTTTCTTAACAGCATCTGATTCTCCATAGCCAAAACAGATCGATATGGATACTAAAAGACTTACTAAAACTAAAACGATTATTCCCATACATGCAGAGATTGAGAACTGCCTCAACCCTGAAAAGTTTTTCACTAATTCTAGACTTTTTTTTCTGATATTTATCTTATGGAAAAGAATTTAAAAAAGAAATGGCCTATTTCAGCAACAGATCCTGTCACTTCACTTTGCAATAAAATCCTCACAATTCCTGTTGAAGATGTCACTTCCTTTAAGAATTCTGTTGATAGGCATTTTTCTGTTGATAGGCCTCGTTTGCTCTTGCAGGTCCAACCCTGCAGCTGGCAATTTCTGCCATATCTATATGACAGACTATTGTTAACTGGTCAAGACACATGAACAGAGACCAGAAATCTGTCTTTGAAGACCCTGCTTTCATTTTACAATAACAGCTGATGCTTTCAACGATTGTTTTGTGTTGAAGCTCTTAAAATTGTAATTTGAAAAGTCTCAAGAATCTCTCTTATCTCTGTGCACATCTAGAATTTTGTGACTAAAAGCTTGGTTGCTTAACATGTTTGTAAGAAACGTCTTATACGTATGCCTTTTGATAGTGAAGCCCCTCCTGTGAGGAATCTCTTGACAAATTCATAAAGATATTGAGGGTATGGAGTTCCTCTCCTACAAGAAATAATCTAAGTCTCCTATTCCTAAGGCTTCTACCTCTACTAAACTACAGGGTATTTCCATTTTCCCCAAGCATCAACCTCAAAATCAAGGCTTAACGCTTTTGTTACAAGCTCTGGCCCATCAAGCCTTCTCAGAAGCTCTCCTCACAATGAAGGTACTCCACTCTCCTCAGAGTAGGGGGACATCTGTTGGTTTTTTGCGCCAGTCTGGATCCAAATCATGGATCTCTTGGTCTGAACTATTATTTCATAGGGGTACAAAATAGAGTTTCCTTTCCTTGCCACCTCCTTTCTTTTACCTTTCTACCATTTTCAAATGAAAGAAAGATTTCAGATGAACGGTTTTAAGGTTTGTATTCAAACCAATTTGTGATCCCTAAACCTAATGGGGCATCCACCCAAAACTGGATTTGAAATCACTAAACAGATTTCTTTGTGTATCAAAATTCTGGATGGAATCTACCAAGATCTAGACAGTAAATCAAAAACGAATTCTCTTGCGCTCTAGGACCCAGACAGGTGGCGAATGGATGGAACCAGACCTGGAAAAATTGACCACCAATGCATGTAGGGTTGTGCGGCTCCAAACAAGGCTGGGGAAGCCCGACCAATACTGCAGAACGAAATGAAAACAAGACCTTGTGCATTACCTCAATAACCAAAATGTATTAATTATAAAAATTTACTCACAAACAGCGAATAAAATCAGGCATGTAAGGCCTCAAAGGGACTTGAAGACATCGTGAATCCCATCAAGGGGATGGATATTCAGTACAGCTGACGCGTTTGGAGCACTCTCAGTTCAGTTAGCTCTGATGAAGAAGGGACACCCTTCCAAACGCGTCATCTACCAATATCTGCCATTGCTTTCGATCAGGCATGGGGAATTTCTTACATCAGTAGGCATACAAAATGCTTGTCTGCCATATTTTTATTTTCTGAGCCAGCACTTTGCCTGCCAGCATCCTAAAGGACCATTCAGTTTCCTCAAACCTTTGGCTGGATATTCAACTTTTAAAAGTTTGCCCTTCAGCCCTCACACCATCTGGAGTTCCTGGGTTTAATCCAGGACACTACCCAAGCCAGTATCTTCTTCAGGTCACTTCTGCAGAAGGGTTATGGGTCTCATGGGGGCCTTCTTTGAGGCATATAGTTTTGCCCAGTTTCACTCCAGATCCCTTTAATCCAACATCCTAAAGACATGTAACAAGCAGATCCAGTCCTTAGATTTCCCACCACTTCTTTCCAGTCAAACAAAGATCTCTCTGACATTGTGGATCTCCAATCCTGCCCTGTAATTGGAAAAGCCTTTCTTTCACAAGGCTTGAAATGTGATATTGATAGATGTGGGTCTTACAGGCTGTTATGGAGTTTACATCTTCCTAAATGTTTAGGAGACATGATCCCCATAGGAGTCACAATAAGATCTTCTATAAGATCACCCAGTCAAGTACAATTGACAGTGTCAAAGCAGTGCCATACATAAATCATCAAGGAGATGATCCTGAAAGAAACTAATCTTATGCTCTAAATGGCGGAGGAAAGGGTTTGGGTCATTCTTATGGCATCAAACTAGCCCAGAAGAATGTGGTATACAGACATACTCATCATGGCTCATCAGTGGAGAGCAGCAGAGAGGAGGTGCCACACCTGTAAGTGATATCATCATTGGAGTTATCTGGTGTTAACCATTCATCTCTACTGAACTTCATTCTATCTAAGCCTGATTATGAATGGATTCAGCTTATATTTTAATTAAGCATTAATGGACCTATAATTTAAGTGGTCTGTTCTTACTGTGAGCAGTTTGAGTGGAACTAGGAGGCAATGGGAGAGTATATTCCTGGCTGTTTTTTTACACATAAACAGACTGCTCAAAAGAACACCTGCTAACACTTCAAGCACTTTTGTTTGTTTGAATGGCCCTATGTGGCCTTGGGCATTGTTGTGACTGCACAACATATTTTTATGAGAGTGCGCACTTTTGGAAGAAGGCTTTTTGTGACTCAATGCTATATAATTTATTATATTTATATTCTGTATTTACCTTTTCATTATTTATATTTGAAATAATGCTGCACTGGGTATTTTATTTTATTCATGTAGGTTAATTTGGTGTGAAACACTTACTAAGTGCTAGCTGGCTGTTTACAAATTTGAATTAGAGTACTTAGCTGTGCATACAGTTTTTTAGGTTTAAAATACCAGTCCTGTATACTATACTCCAAGATAAGGAATTTACAAGTAAGTCAAAATTTTAATTACAGTGATTAACCTATAGTGAACGTTTGCTGAATGTCACATTCACAGCTGTATAAACGCGTCCTATCATGTTTTTTATTTAATATATAAATTGATTGATACTCAGCAGGCTTTTGTCTATATCATAGAAAACAACAGTGTATTTTAATGGCACAGACCTTGTGAAAAAGTGAATGCTAAAGCATAACTATACAGTATGTTATACCCTTTGGGGGAAGTCTGAATATGTAACTTTAAATATGCTAAATATTTTTGTTATTTACATTATGCACCCCTTTCATTACTATCAATTTCTGATTGACAGGTCTTATAAATTGCGTATTCCTAGAGAAGAAATAAATGACGTGGCAAATTTGAGACATAAATGGTCAGAGCTAATGGATCTTACTAGTGTTGTAAGTGAAATCCCATAAGCAGTTTATTGACATGTTGTGCTTTGAGCAATTCCTACAATTTCACTCAATTCAGATGTAATTAGACATATTCTTTACAAAACAGAATTGATTACAGAATTTCAGATATGTAAGATATGTTGTATCTGATTCACAGAGTTTATAAAATGTTTGTATCAAAAAGAACTAGTCACTGATGGGCATCTGTAATAATCTGAATCATCGCTTTTGAAATGTTATAATAGAGTAGTCTAAAACTCTTAGGGTTTGCTTGTTTTTTTATGATTATTCTAGTTCTCCCTCTCAGAGCAGAAGTGTCAGGCTGTAAAGCTGGGTACACCAGTGGGCTCACAGATTCCTGCATCCACACAAGTGATACATTGGGTGCAACGTCTGATCAAATGCTGTTTTTCCAGTAGGACCGTTCAACAGAATCGGGTCTAAAAATTGGCTTCTGTCAGAGAGGGCTACACACAGATTGAAGTTTGTCTGGTTCCTGTTGAATCAGTTGAATTTTAATCAGTATGTACAGTACCCAGGTCAAAGTGGTTCTAAAGTCTTGATTTTTTTTCTTTAAAATAGTATACACATCATAGCTACCTGTTCTGTGCAATGGTTTTGCAAAGAGCAGCTCTGATCCTACTCGGGTCCCTTACCATCGATTTTGGTCCCTCCCCTTGCCAAGTGCCTTCTAACTCCTGAGCCATCTCTGTGTGTCTATGGGACACTCAGAACGTAAGTGACCCCTGCTCCCTCCTTGCTGGCTGTGATTGACAGCAGCAGGAGCCACTGGCTCCTGCTGCTGTGTCTCAGCCAATAAGGAGGGAGAAACCCAGGAGAGCCGCTGCTCTCGTGCACATGACTGGATTAAGATAGGTAAGTATTCGGGGGGGGGTAGCTGCACACTGAAGGTGTTTTACCTTCATGCATAGAATGAAGCTTTCAGAACCATTCAGAATCACTTTAATACTCTTCTATCTCCTGTCTGGGCTCAATGCTAATAGCAGACCTCTTAAAGTGTATCTAAACTCAGCAGCAAAAATGTAATATATAGCAGCCTAGTAGTACTTGGATCCAGATTTGTTTTCCTTTATTTTCACCTGGTTCTCCTGTGCATAAAGCTAGCCATATAGTAGTGACTCATAAATATCTCTTCATGATGGGCAGGGGCGGACTGACCATTCGGGCACTCAGGCACTGCCTGAAGGCCCGGGGGTCAGTAAGGGGCCCCATGAGGTTCCCCTGGTACCTTTCAAAGGCTTTTTTGGGTGTGGTTTGAGTGAGGGAAGGACACAGGGGCCCCATGATTCCCTATTGCCCGGGGGCCCCGTGAGTTGTCAGTCCGTCCCTGATGATGGGTTCTGTTTAAAGTAACTTTAATGGAAAAAAATGCTGACAAGTATAAACTGCATCCTGGTAGTTTTGGATTTTTGCATGCTATCTCCCCATTCATTTCTTTGGACCCACCACTATCATAAGCAGCCTTACTGACCGATAGGAGTGTGTGGGAGAGAACAGGTAAGCTTTGACACTACCAGGAAGTACCGAAGCTTTGCCCTATCAGAACTTTTAGGCAGAGTGGAGGCACTGGACTGACACCGGTCTGTAAAGGCACTATTAGGTGCTTGCTCTTTGTTCCTGTCAGCAATGTTTTTTCTGTTGTTAAAGTTGCTTTATGGCACTATTTATATTTTTGGAAACAAATTATACTTTCACATCCAAATAACAATCATGATCAGAATTGTATACTGTTGTACTGCCAAGTGCACCAAATGGTAATAAAAATGTGTCTAGCTGATTTTTGTTTTTGAAAAAGTAGCATTAGTGCAGACGTATGATTTACTGTCCAAAATTATATCTTTAGTCCTTTTCTTTTTTAAGAGAACGCGGTCAGCCTAATACAAACTATTTTAGGTTATGACAATGCTTCGATAAACTTGTTTGTTAGCTTTTTTTATATACTGTATGTGTACATAGGGGGGCTTTACTGTTCCTTCCTAAAAAGTCTGCTAGTCAGGTCTGAGTAAAAGACAATGCATGCTTTATGTCGCTGACATGTTATTTTAGCTGTTGTTGATCATGGACCATGAGTAATTGCAGTGGAATACTGATAGTCACTATGCGTAGACTCTACAGATCAATAATGTAGTTCAATAATAAAATTTACAGCTAGCATATAAAATGATGTTACACCAGAAATAACTTAATGCTAAGGATAACAACTAAAAAGCAAAAAGCAGTTTGTGCCAAAAAGGTATTGTACTTTTTGTTATGTACAGTACATCTGAAAAGTTCTGAACATATTTTAATTATTTAAAACATAATATGTATTAACTTTGGAGGGACCAATGCTCTCATGCCTTAATCAGCAGATAATATCATGAGAAGATATTATATACCGTATCCTTAACCAGATTGAAGCATTGACTATTTTATTCTACTATTTAATTGTTACAGGTTAAAGATACCTTGTTGAAGGAAAAGCAAGATATATTCAAGCAGGAACTTGATAAGCAAGTTAAAGTAAGAACATATTTTCCTATTACAGTATATCATGAACAACTTTTATGTATCGTAAGTACGGTAATTTACAAGGAGGCATAGAAAAACAATATTCATAATTAGAAAATCAATGTTTAGTTTATAACCAGACAATTAATGAATAGATGGGCTTAAAAATGTTCACCATCTAACCTGTGTGAAGCTTAAAGAATATGTAAACCCAACATTTTTTATCCCTGATATGTGCCTTTTATTAGAAGAGATTGATTAAAAAGATCAGTTAACGGTCAAAAAACTACACCTCAAAGTTCTCTTAGAACTCTAGAATGCATACCATTATGACCCATTGCTTTATTAAGCTTTAAACAAACTAATTGATATGCTACCTATGCCTTAAGAAATCCTAAAAATGAACCTTCACATCTAGAACCAAAATGATCCCCCCAACATGTTTTTGTTAGTGTAATTTGCTTCTGAGAAGACTGAACGAAAATAGTTCAAATTGTTTGCTAAATGCAGGTCCTCCTCAACATGTGTATTTTACCCAGTTTTCATTCTTGTGATCCCATAGTATCTTTTCTTCCTGTCACTGAAAAACCCCCAAAAAGGTTTTGACTTTTCATAATGAATGTATCCATTTCCTCCTCTTTCTGTGCTTTAGCTACACTATTACTGTATTTGGCCTCCTTTTTTGGTCTGTTTTTATACACTTATCCATCAGCTACACTTAATCTGGCTATAGATAGATCGACGTTTGGCAGGTTCAGCAGGAACTGGCCAAAGTTTGACACACGTGTGGCTGCTTCCATTCAACAGATGCCAATATAATGATTGACATCTGTGAAACAGGAATGTTGGAAAACTTTTTTCAATCAGCATCTGCAGCTGCTGATCAATATATTCTGAAAGGGGATGAGTCCCGTTGTCAGAATACAATGGCACAGCTGGGAAGCTTCCTTCTCTTTTCTTCAACTACCTACTAAAAATATTAACAGGATAGAAGAATATCCTAGTGAGAAACATAATTTTCAAGCTGTTTCTGACACTTTTTTTCCTGCATTAAGGTAAAAAATATTTCCCATAGTTCTTCTTCCCCCTCTCTTTAACGCACCTGACATCACACGTGATCCAGAGCTGTCCTCGTCAGCAGCTCTCCTCTCTTCCTACATTCACATCCATTGGCTCTCTGCTGCTGTCAGTCAAATCCTGTGAGGAAGGAGCTGGGGACATGACTGAGCTGTGCTGTGTGTGTCCATGGATGCACACAGCACAGTTCAGGAGCATGTCCGAACTAGTGCTTGCATAGCACACGGCCCTCAGAGAAGAGGAGGAGTGGAAAGTGTCAGAGGGGGACCACCAAAGAAGAGGTAAAGAGCACCTCTGTGCAATACCATTGTACAGAGCAGGTAAGTATGAACCTCTTTTTTTTAAATGTATGTAGTGCATTTTATTTAAAATTCACTATATGTGTATAATTATTATATTAAAATTAGAGTATATTAAAATCACAAAAAAAGTTGTAACAAATAATATGACAACATTTAGAAACAATACATATAAAAACAATTCTCAATTAAAACATACTTTTAACTAATGAAATTATGTTCATTCTTTGTAAAAGAGTTTTGCTGTAGAGGTGATCCAGTTTCGCAATCGCTTTGATACACAAGGCCCAGCAGCTCCAGGAGTGAAGCCAGAAGAGGCTGTGGCTCGACTGCATGATTTCAATGAGAAGTAAGTATCTGCCTATTTCTTTATTCATTTTAGTAAGGTGTTATCAATCTACATTATGCCATTTCATTCCCTACAGACTAAAAAATGCTAGCAATCCAAAGGTACTATATCTATAAGAATAAATTAATCATATACAAAGGGGTATTTTTGTCCCTTGGATCTGTAGCTTTAAATAGAAATGCTATTAATTACATGAAATGTTGTCAAATTGCATTTGAAATCACAATTATATGTGGTACACAAAGCACCAGAAAAGTAATTAAAAAGTGAGCTTTTGATGAATTACAGAAAATTGAAAAATCAGATTACCAACAGTAATTCGAGGCAAGCAATAAGGTGAAGGTCTGGACAAAATAAAAAATAATGCATTATATTACTCTGCAATGCATGGACATTTTCCCATTGTTAACTCTGTAAAAATGCAGATGTCCAGGAAAATAACTGGTGATCCTTCCAGAAATCCAGCGAGCTCCTAAGCCCCTATACTGAGCTGACATTGCTGCCTGTGCTACACTGAAATCCCAAGTAGTGTTATCAGAGTTCTTCCTTGCTGGACTACAGAAACTCTGCTTATCCTTGTCCCTTTCTGTGCCTCACCACATACATATATTGATTTATTTTACCTGTAAAGTAAGCTGCTGCCTTGACTTCCAAGAACCTGCTCACACACTGTGAGTAAGGAAATATATGTAATATTAGGAGTATTAGGAACTAACATAGGGCATCCACCTCATCCCTCCTCCCAGCAGATGACCCTGAAATAATTTTGCAACCTGGCGATGTTATCATAGGGTGTAATTTAAGTTGTTCTTTCCTAGAAAAAACAAGATTAAAAAAAATGTAATACTGGACATGTGTTAAAGGGCAGAGGGAGGTGTGGGGTAAACTTGGGTCATGAGTATACAAATCCTTTAACTTGGGTTCAGTAGTATTAAAGAGTTTATTCTTCCGATTTGAAAAACAAAATCAAAAGTCAGCAGCTACAAATACTGTAGCTGCTGACTTTTATTAAATTGACACTTACCTGTCTAGGGATCCAGCACTGTCCTCGCCCATGCCAGTTCTTCGCTGGTCTTCGGGTCCCAGTATATTAACTGTGGGAATCTGGCTGTGACTCCTTGAGGCTTCCAACTCTGCGTGCATGAGCTGCACTGCGCTTTGTGAACGGTCCCATAGCCTTTTGGGACCTGTGATGTGTCCCAGAAGGTTGTAGGCAGGGGGAAAGGTGGGGGACGTTTAAGAAATTGCCTAGGCAGTGGGACCAGGTACCTGTCAAAACTAAGTACCCGCTCACCACTCAAAAAAAAGTTCCAAAAAAGAAGAAGAGGGGGCAGAGAAGGGCATAATACGGAACTTTCCCTTTTGGATGAAGTTCTGCTTTAAGTATACAAAGTTGATTTAGTGCTTTTTTGTAGTGTTTACAGTGCAGTGTAAAGCAATCATTCCCAGTTGCACACATTTTTCTTTGCAGGTACCAAATCTATGACGCTAAAAGGAAAACATTGAATTCTGTGCAAAGGGTATTTAATATAGTTCCGAAGACATTTCCAGAGTTGGACAGGACTGGAAAGGTATAATAAAAGTCCTTAATCAATAAAATGAAGGTATCAAGAAAACATGTTATAATAACAACTTGCGTTCATTAAGGTTAAGATTTCTTAATAGTTACATGTTTTTTTCCATATTTAATTTTATGTTACATTTTTTAGGACCTGCGGCTACTGGGAACACTGTATATCCTGTTTCAAAAGTTCATTGACTTTGACCAGAGATTCAGGAACACTCTGTGGGCAGATGTAGATCTGACAATAAGTAACCAAGTGGTATGGATTTTTTTCTTTATAATGCTATGCTGATTGTTTAATTGGAAATATAAAACATAGTGTGGTAATGCATTCTATCATTATTTTGAAACATAATGGCAGATAGTTTACAAGCTCAGTATATTTTATTTAAAATCAAGTATTTTGTCTACAAAAATACATTTTACTTATAGCTAAATTTGTTTTATTCTTTGAAGATTGAGGAATACTGGTGTGAATGTCAAATCTGGAATGATAAATTGAAGGACTGGGATGCATACAATGAAATGGCTCGTGAAATCAAATTCTATGAAGATGTATTTCCACTTCTACATGAATTTAAATCTAAGGTATTGTAATTAAAGATGAAATGGTTTAATCATTAAGTTTTATACTTAAAAAGAAAAGCCATTGGCATGTAGGAAATATTTGGCCACAGCCATAGT